AATAGAAATAAATCCTTTTACCCAGTAACTTGTCCTTCAACTTAAATTTTGGAGTCAAAGCATTTTTTAATTTAATTTGTTATTTTACATGTTGATCCCAGTTCCCTCTCCCTCCCTCCCTCCTCTAACCCTCCCTCCCTCCCCCCACCCCAATTCCATATGTAGGGGAATGCCATCCAGTTGGGGTCATGCAGATCTGACAGGTCCTGTGAAGTAGGGACTAGGGCTTCTCTCCTGTCTCTAAGCCTCTTTTAAAGCAAGCACGCCAAGTTCTTCTCTCTCTCTCTGCCTCTCTGCTTCTTTGCTCTCTCTTTGCTCTCTCTCTGTTCTCTCTCTCTCCTGCTTTCGGTTGGCCACCAGCTACCCCCTCTTTCTCTCCCCTCTCTCAATAAACTCCACGTGGGCGCTGAGTCTCGTGTTTGTGTTTCTTAGGCATTAGCTGCGCAGCAAAAGAACAACACTTAGGCCTTCGAAATGGCTTTGAAGGAATAAACTGAAAAAGGCTGGAGATTCAGGCTAAATTCTAGAATGGCTTTCAGCATTTAATGGGCCACTCTGGTGCAAGTTTAGAAGAACAGAAAGTCAAAAGGAAATATTGGCCGTAAATATTACCTTTATGGTGATTCAGATTGGAGCAAGACTCTACTGGGAATTAGACAAAAAATCCTTCTTGTTAATTTTGTAAATTCAAAAGTAATGGACTCACATGCAATTGTGGCACATGCCTTTAATCCCAGCATTCAGGAGGCAGAGACAGGCAGAACTCTGAGTTTGAGGCCAGCCTGGTCTACGAAGCAAGTTCCAGGACAGGCTCCCAAGCTACAAAGAAATCATATCTTGAAAAGCAAAAAACAAAACAAAAAAAAAAAATGTAATGGACTAATTAACTTCATGGAGGAAATTTCAAGACACAGCATTCTGGTTGGTGCATGGTTATTGCTGGTTGCTGTTAGACTGATTCATGGTGAAAATCATGAATAAAAAAGATATTTAAATGCATTTTTTGAGAAAAGGGGCATAAGTGAGCTTACAGTCATGGGCAGAGAGGCTGTAAATCAAGAAATAATTGTGACTGAACAGACATCAAGCAATTTGCAATTCTTGTTCTGTTCTCATATGGCCTCATCAGTGTTCATGGAATTTTAGAAGTTCAGCCAAGAGTTTGTCTTTTAGCAGCCAAATCCTAGGAAAGATTATTGTGTGATTATCCCCTTTACTTCAACTCTGTTAATCAAGGGGTTCATCCCAGGACTCGGGAAAGTAGATCACTAAATGGTTTTCATACACACAATGTGAGATACCATGTTGTTGTTTAGACAGTTGTGTATTTGTGAATAGAGAAGGCCCACTCCTGGAGGCACCTCCTCTGAGGTTTTCTGGTAAAAGAATATCTTTGCACAAGAAACTATCAGTATTGGGAGATGTCCTTCCACATGCAGTGAATATATGTTTCTCTTGTTGGTTGATGAATAAAGCTGTTTTGGCCAATAGACAGGCAAGATTTAACCAGGCAGGAAATCCAAACAGGGATAGAGAAAAGTAGTAGATGGAGTCAGGGAGATGCCATGTAGCTACCAGGAAGGTAAGATGTTCAAGCATTCTCTGGTAAGCCAAGACTATGTGGAGATACATAGTTTGATAGAAATGGGTTAATAATTGAGAGAAAGAGTTAGCCAATAAGAAGCCTGAGCCACCCATCAAACCATTTACAATTAATATAAGCTTCTATGTGTTTATTTGGACTAAGTGGCTACAGGACCAGGTAGGGCAGAAACTTCCATCTACATCATATCATACCAATGGTTTTTAACCCACATGGATAGGATTCGTGTGTGTGTGTGTGTGTGTGTGTGCAGGTAGACAACATGCAGAGACCAAAAGATGGCCTCAAATGTCATTCGGAAAACATGATTCACCATTTTATTTTAGATCAGAATTGTCCTTTAATCAGAAAAGTTGAAGGGCAGCAGGCTTTTCATGATTCTCCTTAAAATGTTTTTTCTAAGTACAAAGTCTTAGTCCTTTTGAAGGAGTACCTCCAGCATTTCCCTCATCCTTTGATCTCCAGTTGGAATGCCTTACTCATTTCTCTCAGCAAACATGTCTGTTGTTTCATGAGCTTAAAGCAAGTTCTAAACATTGTTTACAAATTTGTCTCTCATTTATATGTAAGCTCTTAATAGCCATGGCAACATCATGGCCTCTAATTATTCTCAGCCTAGTGACCAATATTAATCAATCAATCATTCATTTATTCATTCATTCATCCATCCATCCAACAACTATTTCATGTTTGCTATTTAATGCTCTAAATGCATCAGAGGGGGAAATCACAGAGAAAAAAAGTAACAACTAAAATTTAATGATATAAAAAAATTTCCAAGCCTCAAAAGCTCTGAAGAAAATATGAGAATATTGAAGGAGACAGACTTTGCTAGAGCATTAACAGAAACCTCTCTGTCCTATGTTGACTTGTTTCCATAGCTAATGTGCATGCTCCTAGGTAATCATTGTAGTTCATATGTGAAACAGAGGCCCAGTGTGAGTAAAGTAAATCTAATCCAACATACAATAAAGTGAGAATCCAGGGAAGGGAAAAGACAGAATTGTTTACATGTGGTCATCTTCAAAGTGTAACTGCCCAGCTAACTGTATGGGTTCTCAGAGGAACCTTCATTCCCCCTTTGAAACTTTGAAATTTTGAAGGAAAATACAGTACTGTTTCATGTGTACATTTTAGCTATGCTTCTTTCAAGTAACATCTTGGGGTATATGCACTTACAGAATATTTGACTTCCTGTCTTTAGTGTAGGTGGTTAGCTGGTTGGTAGCTCTTGCAATATAGCCCAGGCTGGGTTTGAACTCATGATTTTCCCACTTCTCAACCTCCCAAGTTTTGAGTTCCCAGGTGTATACCACCATGGTAGGTTTAAAATAAATCAGTTTAAATTTAGGTTTTTTTATATGTCATGTTTTTTTAAGTTGTCATGTATTAGTCATTTTTCTATCATTATAACAAAATTCTTGAGATAACCAACTTCAGTGCACTGGTTTGGGTCGTTACTGATTCTGTTACCCTTGTTGGTCTCTCATCAACTTTAGAGAAACTCCAGGGGATGGAAAGATGGCTCTGCAGTTAAGAGAACTGGCTGGTTTTCCAAAGGACCTGAGTTCAATTCCCAGCACCCACATGATGGCTCATGACCATCTGTATCACCAGTACCATGGCACTCGGTGCCCTCTTCTGGTCTCAGTGGGTACCAAGCACATAAGATGCACAGAAATATATGCAGGCAAAATACTCATACACACAAAAGAAAGAAAGAAAGAAAGAAAGAAAGAAAGAAAGAAAGAAAGAAAGAAAGAAAGAAAGAAAGTCCAATCCATTTCTACTTTTTCAAGTAGGACATAATGAATCTGATAATTTTCAAAACATTTCATTTAGTCAGACCAATTCTAAAACAATAAATTCCTGATGGTTTATCAATACGACTCCACAAATTTAAATATCCCTCTGGAATGTTGAGCTTAACATATCCCACCATGGTGTCAGCCCTGCTTAGTTCAAATCCTGGCTCAAGCTGATATAAGGTTAAAAAAAAATTAAATTTTTTTCTAGATCCCTAAACACAATTTATCTAGTTGTCTATTAGCCCACAGTGTGTAAGGTTAAGATGTGAGCAAAGTGGTCTCCTGTTAAACACAATTTATCTGTTTGTCTATTAAACCATAGTGTACAAGGTTACGAGGAGAACAAAGTAGTTCTCAGCAGTTCACTAGACTAGCTCTCTAATGAAGTAAGTCTAATACATCTGCATTAGTTAGCTTTTCATTGCTGTGACAAATGCTAACTAAAGAAGGAAAAGGTTTTCTGGCTCATGGTTTCCAAGGCTCAGTCCATGTGGTCACAGAGAATAACCTGGTGGTGGAATGTGTGAAAGAAGAAGGTGCTCTCCTGGAGGCAGCTGGGTGAGGGAGGGGATGGAGGCTGGGTCATGGAATACACTTTCATGGCATGCCTTTAGGGTGACCTGCTGCTTTCAAATAGGTTTCACCTCCTAGTTTCCACCACCTCCCAATAATGCTATTATATTATGAGCCCATTAATGGATTAATTCACTGATGGAGCAAGAATTCTCATTACTAATCATCCTCATCCTCAAAGTCCACTATTTGGAAATCAAGCTTCTAAGGTAGGAGACTTTGGGTGACATTTAAGATACAAGCAGTAAAATCATTCATCTTGTAAGGTTGGAAAAGTCCAGAGAATCCAGCATGTAAAGATGTGGAAGTCAATCCATTACTGTCTAGAACTTTACACAGTGCTTAGTAAATACAGTCTCAACCTATACTTACAATATTCATTCATCCATTTATTCTTGACTGCCTAAATGTGTGGTTCTTCACTGCTTCAGCCTCATATGACCCTCCTACCTCTTTCTAGTCCTTAAGGAATGACCCCATTGAATCTACAAGTTATTGATTTTCACGCTAAGACTGCCTCTCAAACCAGACCAGGTCAGAGCTCAAGAGCCTACATTTCTGGGCAGGAGTTTATTGGAAGTTATTTTCATGGCTCACACATAGCCAAAAGGACAGCATCAACAGTTGGCAGCACACTACCCAGTGCCATTAGATTCTGCATTTCCTCTATTCACTCATTAGTTTATACTCAAGTCACCACTTCAATATGCCCAATCAGATGACTATAGCGTGGTGACATGTACACCTTTCTATTAACTACATGGCTTTCATTTCTTGGGAGTTGATTTTTTTTCATCATTGTATGGTATTTAAAAGAAGATAGAAGGTGACAGAATACAACCTGTCTAAACCATATTCATTTAAAGATACTTACATTTACATACATTTAAAATGTGTACCTTCCATGAAATGGATCCACTCCTAAATACAGAGTTGTCTGGAGTCATTAGCTCACTGCCTGAAAACTCAAGAACTGTTCCTAAAGATGCTTATGTTTAATGCTATATTATTTCTAGAAACCATGAGAAGTTGTGTGGCAAAGCTGTTCTTTACCTGTTCCTTAAAGGGCCATTACTGCCTGTACAGCAAGTCCAGTTTCACCCTCATCAGCCAAGCACCCCAGCCATGGATCAAGATCATGTTTCTCTTCCAACAGGTGTGTGCAATTCATGTTCCTTGGGCTCTTGAATGAGCCACTAGGCTATTATAATCATGTTCATTGAATTATTAATCCTTTGGCCAGAAATGGTGTATAGATAGCAGCACACTTACATTTGTTTTAGGACATATTTTAATACCATTTCCTTTAAAAAAAAAAAAAGATAATTTTTGGTTCATTAATCAGCAAGTCAAACCTGTTATCATTTTGCATACCCTTAGCTTTGAAGGAGAAGTGGGAGAGAGGGGGAAGGGACGAAGGGCTGGGCACCACAGTAAATAGTTTGCCTGCATCATGAGAGCCCTAGGTTCAACCCTCAGAACTGAAGTTTTAAGAAAGATGTGTTACATTCTTTTATGTTCCATTTGTTTAACTTTGTGACGCTGTGTTACTTTGTTTGTATAACATACCTAATTGGTCTAATAAAGTGTTGAACAGCCAACAGCAAAACAAGAGAAAGGATAGGCAGGTGTGGCAGGCGGAAGGAATAAATAACAGGAGAAATCCTGGAGGAGGAAAGATCTAGGAGCAAGAGTAAAACAAGGACTCTGGGAGCGGGGGGGTGGGGGGGGCAAGCCATCTCTGGGCTGTTGGTCCTGGGTTCTATAAGAAGAAAGCTGACTCTCCACTCACTGCCCCCTAACTCCTAATATGCTCAGGAGATCTTGTTCCTTCCCCTTCTGTGAAGGACCTTGTATGAATCTCTTAAGTTCCTCCTTGTATCCTAGTTTCTCTGGCAGTGTGAATTTTAGGTGAGTGATCCTTTGCTCTGTGTCTAAAATCCATATATGAGTGAGTACATACCATGTTCCTCTTTTTTGTGACTAGGTTACCTCATTCAGGATGTTTTCTTCAAGTCCCATCCATTTGCCTGCAAATTTCAAGATTCCATTGTTAAGGGGAGGAGAGGAAAGCATGTGGGACTAGGAAGATTGAATCGGGGGGAGGAATATATGAGAGGGGAGAGAGAGAGAGAGAGAGAGAGAGAGAGAGAGAGAGAGAGAGAGAGAGAGAGAGAGAGAGAGAGACCATAAAAGAGGGAGTCATTATAGGTTTGAAGAGAAAACTGAATCTAGAGAATTGTCCAGACACATAGAAGACTAACCCCAACTAACAATTTGAGCAACAGTGGAAAGGCTACCTTAAATGCCCTTCCCTGATAATGAGATTGATGACTAACTTATCTATCATCATAGAGCCCTCATCTAGTAGCTGGTGGAAACAGAAGCAGACACCCACAGCTAAGCACTGAGCCAAACTGGAATCCAGGTACAGAGAGGGAGGAGTAATAAGAAAATGGGGACAAGACCAGGCTACAGAAACCCACAGAGACAGCTGACCTGAACAAGGGGCAGCTAATAGACCCCCAGACTGATAGCTCGGAAACCTGCATTGAACCAACTCAGACCCCCTGAACATGGGTCTTAGTTAGAAGGCCTGGGAAGTCTAAGGGACCTCTGACAATGGAACCAGAATGTATCCATGGTGCACAAAAGGACTTTGGGAGCACATTCCTCATGGAGGGAATGCACATTCCTGCCTAGAGGCAGGAGGGAGGGCCTAGTCCCTACTCCAAATGACTTGACAGATTTTGTTGATCCATGCTGGAAGGCATCACTGTCCCTGTGGAGTAGGAATGGGATGGGAGGGTGGCCGGGGGGGGGGCATGGGGGGGGAAGGAAGGGAGAGAGAGAGAGGGAGGAAAAGGAAACTGGGATCGATATGTAAAATAAGAAAAAAAAATAAGTTAAAAAAGAAGAAGGCTGAATAAGGCATGGGAAGCAAGTCAATAAGCAGCACCCCTCCATGGCCTCTGCATCAGCTTCTGCCTCCAGGATCCTGCCTGTCTGAGTCCCTGTCCTGACTCCCTTCAATGATGAATAACAATACTGAAGTATAAGCCAAATACTCCCTTTCCTCCCCAACTTGCATTTCATCATGGTGTTTGGTCACAGCAATAGAAACCCTAACTAAGACAATATCACACTTTCTCCCAAGGCAGGGATCATCATGAAAGAGAGGTTGGGATGATTTTAAGAGTCAGAAGTAATGAATGACCACATCAAAACAGTGTTTTTCAGACCCAACATAGCAGCTGCACATCAACTCATGGTGGTTGCAACAGTTTGAACAAGATCAGGCCAGACAAAATCACAGCACAGAGGATGGAGATGTCATGAAGCCCCACTCCTAGCAGAGATGCTGAGAGCAATTGATGGATGGTTTGAGAGGGTTAGTTAGCGTATTAGGATTCAGCTCCTGAGAGACTACTGATATTCCAAAGAATGATCAAATAACCATGAATATACTGATATCACTTAGTAGGTTTACTAGGTTTGAAAAGAAAATACAAGACATGTGAAACTGGGAAGGAATCATAGTAGGAGAATAGAGAAGGAATTGTAGAGGAGGGAATAGAGGAGTGGATTGATCACAACACCTTATATGCTTCATGAAATTTTCAAACAAAAATTATAAGGAAAGGAGAAAAATCAAAATTAAATAAAATTTAAAAGTCATAAGCCAAAATATTCTAACATTTCTTTATGAAGTCAGGCTTACCAAAGGAACAGTGAAACACAGCATTGACTGCTTTGTAGTCATAAAATTTAACTATAGTAAGAGGTCTAGAATCTGCCAGTTTTTACTGTGTATGTCTTCTTAAGAACACTTAATAACATCTTGCAAAGAACAGCTCAGACTTTGATGTGAGCCAAATTGCACATAAACATAAAAATAACATTCTTTTATTTCTTAGAATAATAATATTCATGTTCCTCCACTCATTTTTTAAGAACAGTTTTCATCAGTGATTTTGTATTTGGCTCCATGTTTGACTTTGTTTTTAACCATACCAAGAAAACTTTTTTATTATTCTTCCACTCTCATTTTATTGATAATCTGATTCTTTCTCTCCTCTTTTAAAAAATTCACCAAAAAGCAGGTTTATTTTACTGGAGTGATTTCTCTCTTTGTTCATGTCTATGACTTATGTAATCTGGGTAACAATCTTGCCTTGGGTCAAAAACCCATCACTGGTCTTGTATACTTGGCTACCTCTTACCATCATGTCAACTCCCCAGATTCATGGAGTTCTCAGACTTAGATCCTGTCCCTCTTTGCATAATGATTCATTAAATCAAGCTCTGTTCTTCTTGAAACAAAACATCATGTACTGTATGACTCTGAAAACAATCAGAAAATTCCAGAGTGTGTGCACAAAGTAAATTTCAGTTAGTCACTGCCTCATAAACTTTTAAAATCTGTCATTTGGGCTAGAGAGACAGCTCAGTGGTTGAGAGCACTGGCTCCTTTTCCAGAGGACCCAGGTTGAATTCCCAGCACCCACATGACAGTTCACAAATGTCTGTATCTCCATTCTAGGGGATCCAAACCCCACACACACAGACATACATGCAGGCAAAACACCAATACACATAAAACAAAAGTAAATAAATCATTCCCCCCAGAAGTTAATACATTTTAAAATAAAGTTTAAAAAAATTGTTTGTCACTAACTTAGGGTCCACAATTCTCTACTTTTCTCGGTTAGCACAAGAGACCTCTCACACATTTTGATGACAATTAGGAGATTTTCCTAGAGAAAGATTTAGTATTTCTTACTCTCTAAGTAGAAAGTTATGTCACATATAGTCAAGAAAGTCTCAGTCATTGTCATGAAAATTTGATTTATAAGTCAATCTCATCCTACCTCATGATAACAAATATGTATGGTGAATAAATTATATTTATGTCACTTATCAGTGTTATCTATGTTTTTTACAAAATTATTCTCTTAAATTAATTTGGCTTCTGAAATCCATGAATGAAACATTCCAATATATCAAAGATTATTGGTCACATCCTAGATTAGTAAATATGTAAGCATATGTTTAACATGCCTATTGAAAAGCTGATTCTCATTGGCTATACAGAATTCTACTTATTTGTGTGTGTGTGTATGTGTGTGTAATGTTTCACTGATGAACAAAGAAGTTAAAACTTTAAGAATATTCACCCATTTCACATTTTAAGATGAAGAATGTTTTATTAGTTCCAAACTCACTCAGAATGTTCAATTGCATAATTATATAATGGACTCTAATAATTATTTGATCTCTATTCTTCATAATCCACTCTCTATATGAGTAGACTCTTATGAATTCTGGTCTTAATTTTATGCCTTCATTTCTCAGATCTTTGGTAAATTCAATATGAATATTCATATTTACCACTTTCCAACTAAGTAATGTTATTGGAAAATCATTAAGATAGCATTATATTACAAGATTTAGCACATATATAAGCAAGAATATAACACCTTATTAATTTTAAATTTCTTTTAGAAACTCACTAGTGTGAGTTTCTAAATCATGAATTTACTCTTCACTATAGACTTCTGCTGTATCACTTAAAGTTACATCATGTTAACATTGAAAGCAGGCCTACATAGTACTTTGGAGCCTGTCAGATTGGGCCAAGAGGTAATGTGACATCTCTGTCCTTATGCCCACACAGAACCTGTTTACTGAACCCCTGTCCATTCAGAGTGGGTCTGTGCAGTTCCTCAAAGGCCTATGGGAGAAGACACAGGCCAGTGGAACCCACAGCTTTGAAGACGCCATGACAGAGTCCACATTTCCACAACAGAAGGTAAATTCTTTTCTCCTCACACATTATTTTAAACCAAGATTCAATATTGTATTTAAATGGTTTGCATTTTTTTCTTCAAAGTTGAATTTTCCCTTCTTTGTTTCACTCCTCTTATTATCAGAAAATACTTATTAAGTAATTATTTTTGCAATTTGATCTTATTGTGCATACCTGTAATCCTAGCACTCAGGAAGCCAAAGCAGAAGAATTACAAGTTCAAAGCCATATGGTGAGGCCTGTGTCAATACCAACAATCAGTCTCCTGATGGCAATAGTATCATCCTCATGGTAGACTGAAACCTCCTAAGCAGGCAGGCAGCTATATCCCCCCCCCAAAAAAAAAAAAAAAAAAGATCACTCTGGTGAGCTCAGTTGCCTGTGAGAAAAGCCATGGGGCTGTGTAGAGCCATGACCTGACCAATGACAGCCTGACCAAAGGCAAGAATCATACTTGGAAGGCTGGATTACTTCAGATTTGATGATAGTGCTGTGGTCTGGATTAGTATGGACACTTTCAAATCTCCAAATGTCATTAAGCCTATTTAATGTGATATGGTGGGGCACTGAGGAATTGATTAAGAGAAATGGGTAAAACACTTATAAAAGCTTTGTAGAAGGGATAGGAAGAGCCATCTAAGCCCATCTCTCCTTCTGCCATCCATGGAGGATTGGGAGCAGTGACCAAGATCTTACCACACATCACAGTTTTCAGGATCTTGGTCTTAGATGTCCTGGCTTTTAGGACTGTAAGAGATAATCATGCAAGTGTCTCAGCCTCGGATATTTTGTAAACAGCAACAGATTAAGATAGGAATGGTGTTATGTTTGTGAATTTTGGTGGTTGAAATGCTAGTGTGGCTGTCACAAAGGAAGGCACAACAGAAGTTGTGGATTTTGGAGTCACAAGATAGCACTTAATATCATTATAGTAGACTGTGTTATTCAAGAGACATGCATATGCAAACACAGATGGCTGCTGAGAACTTCTCTGACCATTGCCAGCTTTCCACAATAAGCCTTGTCTAGATCTAAGGACTCTGATTACTGTTTTTACTTTTAAGGATTCCCAGTGGTAAGTATTGGATGCCAAGTGGAAAATCCAGACTTTCTGATATATAAAATGAGTCTCTGGACTCATTTTACTGATTTTTCTTTTAAAAGTTATATATTTTCATGGAGCATTATGGGGTATTCAAATCAGAACAAATTTCTCAGTTACAAACATTTAGCATTATGTGAAAATGAATCAAACTCTTTTATTATAGCTCTTTGAAATATATATATATATATTCATATATATATATTCATTATCTATAGTCACTGCACTGCACAGTAGAATACCATGTCTGTCTCTTGTCTCTCTTGTCTTGGTACCATCTAGCCAAGCTTTCCTCTTTCCTCCATCCACTCATTTTGTATTTGAGAAAGCAAATAAGCATGCCAATATTAAATAAAGTCAAACAAAACTTAAAAGATATCTCATTGGGTAAGGGCTCTTGCTTTGCAGTCAAGAAGGCCTGAGTTCAAGTCCCCAGCACCCACATTTTTTTAAAGGCATGGCTGCATGTGCTTGTAATTGTGGCTCTGGGACCTGGGGGGCAGGGACAGGAAGCAGATCCTAAGAGTTTGCAGGCAGCTAGACTAGCAGGAACAGTGAGTTTCTGCTTCAGTGAGGGAACCTATGTCAGGAATGTGACAGAAAACAAGAGAGGAAGACACCAGTGTCCTTTGTCCTCTGAATGTGTGTGCACTGGTATGTGCACACACAGAATACATGTACACAATAAGAAAGTGCAAACAGCAAATTAATCCAAACCTGTTTCATTGTGAAAATATTTCTTACATGAAAGATAGCAACAGGATGAAAATTATAACTAATCAGAATTTTTGTTTATAAGTCTATAGAAAACAGAGATACTCAACTTCTATTTCCCCATCCTTTGGTTTTGGTTTAAGAATATGATGACTGGCATTGAAAGAAAAAGGAAATCCCTAATCACACCAGCAGAAAGTAAATGGAATTCTTTGCATATTTCTCTCAAATTTTCAACTGTTACATTATGCTTAAAGACATTGCATCAAATTCTTATAAATTTCTTAAGCATTAACTGTTTTAACTGGGGACAACAAGAAAATTAAAACTTGGCAACCACTTCAAGTTCTAAGAGACTAAAAAAAAATAACTTGGCAAGATCAGTTTTGTACTTGCTATTACTGTTATTCATATTCCTACTTCAGTCCAAAAAAAATATCCCTTTAGGGAAAAGTTAACTGTAAAGCCAAGTTTTGGAAATGTTCTAAATTTCATAATTTGGTTTATTCATAAGAATAGAAAAATGTTGGTGTCTGGGTTGTACATGGTTTGGCAAAATTTCTATCCCCAAATTTCTTAATCACACTTCCATGCTATCTACCATCTTCTATGAAGAGTTCTCCATATTAAGTTCAAGGACTTGTTCAGGGACTTCTTTATTTCCACAGTATGTTCCAGAGTACACACACACACACACACACACACACACACACACACACACACACACACACACCACATGCACACACATACATACATGTGTGTACACACATATGCATACATGTATACATGTATATACACACACATACACACATCACATGCATATATACACACCCCATGCATACACATAGACACACACACACATACATGCAGGCACAGTGATATGGTAGTGATGGCATTTGTCTCTCTGCTTCTGAACTTTAAGTTCAGGTTCTGGAAAGAAGCACATTCTCAAGAGAAGACACATCTGAGGGAATGCTTTAGCATCTAGAATGATGCTGGTATTTTTAAATAGAAACTTGGAATTTTAGAACTAAAGTCCATCACTAAAATTTATTAAATTAAGACCGTGTATGATGGAATACACATGTTATCCTGCCACTTACTCAGAGCATGAGACAATACAAACATCTGAGGGCAGAGATTTCCTCAAATTTACCATTTAATTTCCAATGTCACACAGTATTTGTCCCAAACAATAGGTGTCCGTTGAGTAAATAAATATGGTCATGCTCAAATGTTAAAATTAAAAACAAGGAGACCTGTTGAAAGTCAGTGGCAGAACTAGAGCTCGACTGTATACCATGGTGACATCAGGACTGTCACCAATGCATCTGGTTCTTCTCTCATCTGCACACAAGCGAGCATCATGTTCTTGAAGCACAGCTTGGTCTTGAGACTTGCCTTGGCCCATGAAACATGACAAGAGTTCTGTGTTGCTCCAGTCCTAGATTTTTAAAAGTCAATGTGTGAGTGTCTGTGTTTTCTCTCTTCTCCTACAATGGTGACTAGAAGCAATTACTAATACTGGGTTGACAGAAGGTGGAAACAGCCTGGAATTCTGAGCTCCCACATGGGGTACTCTGAAATAATAGCTGATCCTATCACTTGCATTGCATGCAAAAGAACCAACATTCTGCTCTGTCAAAAACTGAAATTTCATATTGGTTAGAGTAGCATTCTTTATCTTTCTTCCTCTATACACATACCTGAGTAGCATGACCTGGGATTAAATCCTGCCTTTACCACTCACTGGAGCCTTTGCCTCTGTGCCCCAGTTTCCTTGTGTCTCCCAATCACCCTCATCACTGCCTCTCCCTCCTTACTTCCCTCCTCCCTCCTCTATCCTCCTGTATCCCCTCCCCCTTCTCATTCTGTCACTATTCCTGCCCCTGCCACTCTTCCCCTATATAACACAATTCAAATCTGCCTTAGATCCACTGAGAAAAATTCAGAGTGGAGACACAAAGATGAATTTCAAGGATAATCTTTTATAGTTTTATAATTTAATCAGACCAGCATTATCAGAGAGCATTCTCCAGATTTCCATGAATTTTCAAAATGAAATTCAATACATGTATCATTTGCAAATTCTTACCAACCTCACAGAAGAATTGAAATGTTACATATTTATATAATGCTATACTTCAAAATTACAAAATTATGAGAGAAAGTATAATGCATATGTTCACTGATTCAAGTGAAAGAATCATCTCTAGATGTTCATGGCATAAAAAAATTTGGATGAGATCCAAACTTTCATTATTCACACATTTTGTATCAAATGTTATTGTCTGTGTCTTAGCTATTCTAGACTATGACCAAGGCAAGTTACAGACAAGAGAGTTTATGAGGGCTTACAGTTCCAGAGGGTTAGAGTCCCTGTCCATCATGGCAGAGAGCACAGCCTCAACAGACAGACAGCATGGTGCTGGATCAGTATCCTTAGCCACAAGTAGGAGGCAAAGATAGAGACACTGGGAGTGGTGTGGGCTTTTGAAACCTCAAAGCCCACCCTAGTGACACACCTCCTCCAACAAAGACACACCTCCTAATCCTTCCCAAACAGTTCTACCAACTGGGGTCCAAGCACTCAAATATATATGCCCTTGGGGCCTATTCTCATTCAAACCACCAGTTTGTCTCCCTAATGAGATTTGTCTTATACAAGAAGTAACCTTTGCACCCAAAGAATCACAAACTTAATGACAATCAATGATATTTGCTGACTGAATAAAATGAATGAGCAATGTTACTAAGTAAAAATAGAAATATTTTTAGAATTATGCATATTTATCTAAGGAAAGAAAATTATGCTTAGTGGTGAAATAATAAATATGTTTTAATTTAATTTTAAAAATAAAGCCAGGAGCCAAGTGTTGGTGGTGCATGCCTTTAATCCCAGCACTCAGAAGGCAGAGCTAGGTGGATCTCTGTGAGTTTGAGGCCAGCCTGGTCTACAGAGTTAGTTCCAGGACAGGTTCCAAAGCAATACAGACAAACCCTGTCTTGAAAAACCAAAAAATAAAACTAGACTATACACTGACTATACACTGTAGTTTATTATTTCTTGTTGTTTGAAAGCATGAGGCAATATGAAAGCAGGGATTTTGTCTGTCAGTAAACATGATCTGAATATCTTAGGAGCATGCCTGGCTCACTGTACCCATGGAAAGTAACAATGACCTAC